GTATGCACCCCCTCTTTATCCATCCCTTGATGGGCATTGCTTCCCTTGTGATTACCACGAGGATTACATCTAACGTCCTGTTAATGTTGTGACCGGAAACGAACCTGGGACCCTGCATTCTGCAAGCTGGCACTCTATCCACTGAGCCAAACAGGCTAGAACAGGTGTATGTGTGATAAATGACAGATGAAGGTCTTGAGGAATTTGAAGCATTGCTGCCATTCCACAGAGGAATGCACTGTAAGGACAGAGCTGGGTCAGAGGGGATCTGACCTCAGGCCCCCAGAGGCACAGTGATTGCTGCCCTTGCCTGGAAGAGGCTCCTGTGGCGCCAAGACACAGCCTCGAGCCCAGCCGGTATGGCTCAGTGGTTGAGTGTCGACCTATGAACCAGGAGGTCAGGGTTCAAATCCCTGTCAAGGCAAATGCCCAGGTTGTACTTACCCTGCAGCTGGCGGCCCTTGTACAGGTCCCGCGCTTTGGTGGGGTGCGCCCTGGCCGTGTTGTCGCATTTCGGCTGCTCGTACCTACGAGGGGGGAAGGGAGGTCAGTGGGGTCAGGGCTCTGACGGGGGTTCTTCCCTTTCGCGCTGGTCCCAGAGCAGGACCCTTGCTGGCCCGTTAGGGTGTGGGAGTCCAGGTCGGGGGAGGGCTGAGGAGGCTCTGCTTGCTGTGGGAGGGCTCACAGGGTCGTCATGGCTGCCATGACGCACAAGCCTCAAGTGGGAGCCGGCAGAGCAGAGAGCAATCTGCTTATTAAATCACACCCTGCGCGGCCGGCGTTGAGTGTCGACCTGTGAACCAGGGGGTCAGGGTTCAAATACCTGTCAAGGCACATGCCCAGGTTGCAGGCTCGATCCCCAATGTGGGACGTGCAGGAGGCAGCCGATCCATGATTCTCATCATTGATGTTTCTCTCTCTCTCCCTCTCCCTTCCTCTTTGGAATCAATAAAAATATATTTAAAAGGCACCTAAAGGTACTATATTAAAAAACAAAGTAACAGCCTCGGAGAGGGGGGCTCAGAGAAGTGAGACCAGCGGGAGGAGGCCAGAGTGTGTGGCGCCAACCCTGGAGGAGAGGGGTGTCCATCCTCAGGCTGCAGGGTGCTGACCGTGGGAAGAGGGGTGCCGACCCTCGTGAGTGCAGAGAAGCAGCTCACAGGTCCATAGGAGCAGAGGTGTTACCGGCAGGTGGTATGAGCTTCAAAGGAATTGATGTTTCTAAGGAGGCGGCGTGGTTTAAAATAGGGAAACGGAGAGTTAGGACGTGGATTACGGAGGAAAATCAGACAGCCTGTACCTAGGAGAGCTTGGGAGCAGGTCCCCGGAGTGGGGATAGCTGCATGGGAACCAAGGCTCCGTGAGGAGAGCCGAGGGGATGGGAGGAGGCGGGAGGGGGAGACGGACAGACTAGGACAGTGATGGTGAACCTATGACACGCGTGTCAGAGGTGACACGTGAACTCATTTTTTTGGTTGATTTTTCTTTGTTAAATGGCATTTAAATATATAAAATAAATATCAAAAATATAAGTCTTTGTTTTACTGTGGTTGCAAATATCAAAAAATTTCTATATGTGACACGGCACCAGAGTTAAGTTAGGGTTTTTCAAAATGCTGACACGCCGAGCTCGTAAGGTTCGCCATCGCTGGACTAGGATGTGGCCCAGTCGGCTGGGGGCCTCTGGCAGCACGTGTCAGTGCTTGGTTCCCTCGTCTGCTCAAGTGCAGAGCAAGGGCCTGCTTCTCTGTGGTGGCCTGGGGTCAGGTAAACTGGAGGCTGGCCACACGCAGGCCCCTAAACACCGTGTTTGTCCTGTCTCAGGCTGGGCTGGGGCCTGTGCTGAGGGACGCCCTCCGTGGGGCCCTGGCCAGAAGCTGCTGGGGTTCGGTGGTGTGAGTTAGCCTACCTCACCCCTGGGCTCTCATCTGGGAATCTGTTTCTCCTCCTCAGTTGCCATAATTAGGTTAAGAAGATAAAGTCCTTGCTGTTTGGTGAGCATGTTTAAGCCAAGGTTATTTTGGGGTGGGGATGGGGGGAGGGTGTAGCATTTCCTTTTCTCTCTGCAGGTCACAGCTTAACTGTCAGTCACTTCTGCCAACGGGTCTTCACTAGGGACCACCTCATGGGGGAACCTGTGGCCTCTCTGGAGACATTTCTGGCTTCATCTAGTGCAGCGGTTCTCAACCTGTGGGTAGCGACCCCTTTGGGGGTTGAACGACCCTTTCACAGCGTCACCTGAGACCATCCTGCATATCAGATATTTGCATTACGATTCATAACAGTAGCAACATTACAGTTATGAAGTAGCAACGAAAATAATTTTATGGTTGGGTCACAACATGAGGAACTGTATTTAAAGGGCCAGGAGGTTGAGAATCACTGCTCTAGAGGGAGGCAACCAGGGATGCTGTGAACCCCCTCAGTGCACAGGACGGCCGGCAGGTACCCCGCCCAGGCGCCCGCAGTGCTGAGGGCGAGACTGCCTGCGTCCCATCTTCCTCCTGTCCCGCTCGCGGGAGCCCTTCTGGCTCTGCCTGCAGTCTGTGATTCGGACGGCTGACATTCTGGGGAAAATCCTCTTATTGTCCTGGGCGACCCACGGACGGCAGGCGTCTTTTCTGTCTTGGTCACTGCCACATGCCCAGTGCTAGCACGATGCCTGGTATACAGTTGGTGCCCAATGACTACCCATTTTTGAGTGAATGAAAAGGAACCTGTAATGAGGGCTTTTCTCTATGGATTTATTTCTCTCTGTCCAGCTTGTACAGCTCTGCCTTATACATCAGGTGAAACTTTGCTTCACTTCAAATTAAACTGATGTTAGTCCCGTCAAATCCTCTCCTGGGCATCATGTGGAATGGTGAGCGGCTTTCAGAGGTGTTGATAACGCGCCGAAAATCCCCTCTCCCGCTGTGGACAGGGGCGGAGGCGAAGAGCAGAGGCCATGAAAGTGCTTCATGTATAAAATGTCACCGTTTTTATTTGCCATTGTAAAGAGGTGTCTCTCCACCAGATTGTAACAAAATTACCACAGCTTGTTCCAAAGGAAAATTTTAATACAAGAGATTTTAGAAAATTAAACACATTTGTTTAAAAATTCTATCATGTAAACCTTAACATAACAGGGTAGTTACGATAATACTACACGTTTCAGAGCGAACCCGCCCGCGCCCAGGCCTGGGCATCGACAGCAGCCCAGACCCCACATCGTTGCCGTATTACCCCCGACGGTGTCCCTGGGACCCAGGCCGAGGCCTCCCACGGTGGATGTGGCCCCTGCACCCACAGCCCCTCCTCCTCGAAGTCAGTATCTGATGAGTCAAGCCGGGCTTACTGAGCAGCTGTGCAGGGGGCGGAGCTAAGGCTGCAGAGGTGAAGACGGTGGGTCAGGATGAATCCAGATAATAGAAACCCTAGTCAGCCCTGCCCCTCACCCCTAGAAACCGCTCCCGGCCCGGGTCGGAGTGGTCAGCACTCTGCTCTCCTCCCGAGTCCCCGGCCCCGACTCTGCAAGGGCAGCTCCTGTCTGGTCTCTGGGTGGAAACAGTCGTGAGGGTGAGCGAGTGACCTCTCCCTCCATAGCTCACCTGAGCGGCCTCATGGGCAGGTGGCAGCCTGGACAGGTCAGCTAGTGGTTTCCCAGTTTTGACGGGAAGATGTTCATGGGCCAGTAAGAACTGACCCCTGGACATTGAAATGCTAATGACCCCAGCAGGCTCTACCGTGGACGGTCATCCAGGCACCATTGTTTAGAGAAATCAGGTTTTTTCCTAAAGAAGTTGACTGGGTCGGTCGGGAAGCCCCTCAACATGGCCTTAGGGCTCCGTGACTGTAGTCAGGAGCACCCATTGGCAGTGTCCTGGCGGAAACGGTGAGAAGTCAGGAGACGGACCACGGAGGCCGCTCCAGGGCCTGCGGGCTGAGCAGGGGTTCGCGCAGAGCTCGGGCTTGTGGGCCTCCAACCTCGTGCCTGTCGATCCCGGAGCTGATGTTTGAGCTTAGAAACATAATTAAGACCGCGTGCTACAGAAACATGAAAACGAACTTTTGGCACGGAAATCTGAGATAAAATATACAGTGCTACAATTGTGCAGAAATAGCACAGAAGCTAATCTGAACAGCAAATATTTAAGGTTAGCTTTAATGAAACAATGCACAATATCTGAAACATGATCGCTGCAAGCCCCTTGCTCAGAGGCAGACGCTGCCCAGGGAAGGGCCCTCTGCCAGGCCGGCGTGCAGGCTGGGGCGCCATCCAGCGCACACCATGTCCCGAGGGAACCGCAGGGAGAGGTCCAGACAGGCGGCGTGCCCGGCTAGGAGGTACCTTAGCCAGGCTGATGTCCTGCAGGTGTGGCCGCTGGCAGGGCCCTTCTCAGGCAGGTGGGCCCACCCATCCTCAGGGCGAGGCTGAAAGTCAGCCTGTTCTGTAGTCAGTTACACGCCTGCCAAGGTGTAAGTGCCTCCCGGTGGACGGACGCTGGGCTGGTGCAGAGGAACCAAGAGGAAGGAAGGACTCTGGAGGGACAGGCTAGAAGGCCCTGCTGGGACCCAGAGAACAGGCCTGGCCCCAGGTGAGGGGCGGCCGGCACCTCTGGGCTGCCACCACAAGCAGGTGGGGTGGGCTGAGGCCTGGGACCTGGGAAACCCGTCCCATGTGATACCCAGAGAAAAAGGAGGCCACCAGCTTGAGGCCACGCCGGTGCTGGAAGCCGGCAGTGCTGCGTCTCCTGGCGGGCAGTGTGCTGGCTCCAAACCTGGGGACTCGCTACTGGGCCTCCAGGGCCGGCTGCCTCGCGTACTGGTAACAACGGTGTTATCGATCCTACGACGTGAACAGCTTTGATTGCCTCTATTTTGTTACAGGCACCACACACAACCTGCCACCCTGGTAAATTCCAGTGGTTATCAAAGGACTCATCTTAATAAGCTCCCAGCCGGGGCAGAGCCGAGCACTTATGATTAGGCCGTGCCCAATCCCCCCTCCCGCCCCCCCCAACTCTCACCACTGGGCCTCCCGCTACGTCTCATATGATAGTATCTTGTCTTCACACCTCAATCAGGTGACCCCATTTGTAACCAGGTGACCCCAATGTGCCCAGCTGTTGGTGCCACTGTGGACACGAGAGCCACCTCCTCCCCCAGGGCCCAACTGGACAAACGCTGGCTGTTCTAACTGCGGCTCTGCGCACTGCAAGGGACTGCCTGTCCCTCACAGAGCCGTGTGCCGGGGATGGATGCTGAGCTGGAGCCAGCCATGCCCAGCCGACTGCAGGTTGACTGCGGGCCGTCCTTTCTGCGGATGGTCATGGGCTGGGGGCGGTGCGCCGGGTGGTCGGCAGCCTGCCCTCGGAAGTGGATCGGGTTGAAGGGCAGGGGAAAGTCCGGAGGGGCTGGCATCTGTGCACCTGGCTGGGCCCGGGGTCTGTCTTCCTGCTCTGGGAACGGGGAAGGCCCTCCTTCCACATGCACAGCAGCTGGATGGACTAAATCCCTGCAGAACAGTCTGTTTCCAAAGTTAAGGCTCTGAGGAGTTGCTGTAATGTGCGTGTCACATGCATATCTGAGCTAAAATTAGGTGTGGTCTGTAGGTGATTCCAGGGTTTCTGCATGATCACAAAACAGGGTACAACAAGCAAGCAGCGAAGTTCCCGTGTGGCCCTAGGAATGTGCTTTTACAACCAGTGGGAGAGCAGGGCGAGTTTCCCATGAGAAATTCAGCTTCGGAAGATGGGAGGCAGGTTTCTCCTGTTTGAGGACAGGCTGAGCACCTGTCCGCCGGGCCGTGGGAGCAGGCTCCTGGAGGATTGCATGCGGACGTGTTTCGGGACAGGTGCCGGCAAAGGCTGCTGGTCAGAGCCCGTGGCCCGGGTGGGGCAGCTGAGGTGGGTGCTGACACGACCAGAAGGAGAGACATTGGGGAGCGGGCTCCGCTGTCCAGACGGCAGTGCTGGAAGGTCTCTTGGCTCTGTGACGGCGACAGAGGTGGAGCAGACAGCGTGTGGTGCGGGGCAGCTGGAGTGGGCACCTGCCCGTTTCGGAGGGCGGCTCTGTCCAGAGCAGCCGCAGTGGCCGGGCGCAGTGGGGCTGGGAGTTGAAACGAAGGAGGTTGACCCTGGACTGACCGCAGGGTCCCCTGCCACTCACTCCTGCCGCCCTGAGAACAGGCCCTCGGCCCACCTGGCTGTCCCCGGAAGGGACTCAGGCCTGTAGCTCTGCGGCTGTGCGGCCGCACCTTGGCTGTACACAGGAGGCGGCTCTCCTGTCCACGGGGCACCTTTAATACCCTGCACAGGGTTTCCTCCCAGGGACAGCCACCTGGGCCCCCCGAGGTCTGAGTGGAGCTGAGGGCTCCGGGACGTGTAGGTGGTTAGCTCCCCTGACCGTCCTTCACACGTTCGTCATCCAGGTCCCTACGGATCTGTCCCCAGGTTTCGCTCATCCCCGCACAGTCTCTTTTCAAACAACCTCACACCTGCTTTCTAGTACCTCCCAGAAATGCAGCCTCCTCCTCACAGTGCGTGCGCCCAGGGGAGAGGCAAGTCCATGATTCTGCACAGCCGGCGGCCCTGGCCCGGGAGGGTCTGACTGGAATGCAGGGGGGAGCCGGGGGAGGCCACGCTCTCATTTTATCAGTCCAGGAGCTCAGGGGCCCGGTGCTCTCGAGTCTGTCTTAGGGAATGACCATGATCTGTTCAAGGTGTACATGTGCCCCAGTTCACAGCGAGCCATGCGGCGGCCCACACTTGGGGGCCAGGTCTGCAGGCCGAGGGCCTAAGAGCCTCTGCAGAACCAAGTCTCTCACAGCCCAAGGCGCCTCGGCTGGGAAGGCGAGGCCACCGATTCCTGGGCAGCCCAGGGTGCTCCACCGTGGGGGCACCATGTTGCCACCGATGGCTGGCTGGGTGAGGCACCCCAAACCTCACAAGGTGCCTGTGGATCAGGGGCCTTGGGCTTCCTGGGGGCCGCTCCTCCCAGAAGTCAGGCGTCACCCCGGAACCACAGTTCAGCATCGCAACGGGCTCCTTCTCACACAGGCCCTGGGGTCTCCTGGGGGGAGAAGCCACAGAGCTGAGGCTGGCCATGGGGCGCTAACAAGGGGTCGTGTCTAATGGCTACTGGTGGGGGGTAAAACGGCAAGGAAACCGCCCCCGCTGGGCCGCAGGCTGCAGCAGGCAGTTGCAGGAAAAAGAGAAAGAAAGACTGTAACAGTCATTCCAGCTCCCAGCGGGAAAAGCCAAGAGGCCGTTTCTGAGGGAACCAGGGGCTCCACGCCCACCTGGCCCTCCGCCGGCCCCTGGGCTGGAGGAAGAGGAGGAAGCCTGGCTGATCGGGCAGACCCGGGAGAGAGGTGCCCACGTGTCCACGTCTGACCAGTTTAATCGGTGCCATGTGACCGGTGGAAGGTGTGCTCTCAGGTTCACCGGTGCGTGTGGCTGTCACTCCAGGTGGCAGGTCCGGCTGCCGTGGCCGGACTGGGGGCAGGTGGCCGGGGAGGCAGCAGCGCAGCACAGAGGCTGAGTCTGGGAGTCCACGGAGGTCAGAGGTCGCCACTCTGGGGCTCCACGTTGCGCGTCTCCCTGGGGTGGCTGCGGGACAGCTTGGGGAAGCGGGAGGCCACCCTGGGCCGGCTGCTCTTGCTCAGTGGCTCTCCGGGTGGGGCGGCGTCGCTGTAAGAAGAGGGGAGAAGGGTTAAGTGGGGCTCGGAGCGCAGGGATGGACGGCGGAGCAGGGCTCACGGACAGCTGCTGCCCAGCTGGCTGGTGATGCACACGGGGACACTGAGAGGCCACACTGTGGGTACACTTTCTCTTGCCAAGCCACCAGCTCTGGACCGTGTTTTAAGGCTGTGAGAGAAGGTACCAGCCACAGCCTTCACCCCTCCCCACAATCCACCCCTTTTTCATTGATCTTCCAGCAAAGGCACATTCCAGTCTGAGAAGAGAGAATGCTGTGGACACACTGCACGCACAGTCGAGAGGTGCAGCACAGACACGGGGGGGTGGGGGTGGGGGCTGGGAGAATTCATCCTAAGAGGGCAGTCAGGGCAGATGCCAGCATCGAATAAGGGCCTCCCCCAAGGGGGTCACTGACACTGGTTATCACATACGGGGCGTGGGGCGGTGAAGGCGACAGGAGCACATGTGCTGACCCACCCGCAGAGCCTGCGATGAGGACTCAGCTACAACCAAGTGGGTCCGGGGCCTCCTGGCTCGGCTGTTGGCTGGAGCCTCAGAAAAGACCAAAAGTAGGTTGTAGAGAAAGAGAAAGAGAAACAACATTCGAGGACCTGGGTTACAGGGCTCCCTCAGCTGCAGACATGAGTGAGGGAGCTGCATGGTTCTCGAGAGATTGCTGGCCTGTGTGTGACCTGGGCACGTGGTCAGGGCCCTGTCATGAGACGGGGGAAGGGAAAGCACAGTATTTCTCCAGCAACACGTGGGAGGTGGCGATTGGGGAAACGGAGTGCACGGAGTCAGTGATGTCAGTCAGGACACCGTGCAGTGTGTCCGTGTCCCACCCGCCCCAGAGGCGTGGCGTATCCGCATGGGAAAAGAGTCGTGGGGTCACGTGGGAGGGAAAGGAGACAATGGTGCACATGTGGATAAAAACAACGTGAGGTGAGGTGCAGCAGCACTCACAGCCGACACCGTAGTTCTGCGCGACCAGACAGGAGGTGGTGCTGAGTGGGCCTATGCGATGCTGTGATCTGTGAGTTTCTAAGGACAGGACTTAAAACACTCTTTTAGGGAGGGCATACCCTCCCATGTACAGGGAAACCCTGCAGGACATTCATGCCTTCCTTCATCCCAGTATCTCTCTCGAACACACAGTGGGAAGCGCTGTCCCAGGCACGGAGGATGAAACGGGGAACAAGGCAGGTTCTCCTGGCCCTGGAGCTCACAGGGGCATTAGCATGTCATCTATATATATAAAAGCCTAAATGAATGACTGAACGATTATTCGACAGGTCACTATGACGTGCACTGACCACCAGGGGGCAGACATTCAACACAGGAGCTGCCCCCTGGTGGTCAGTGCGCTCCCACAGTGGTAGCGCCGCTCAGCTGACCACTGGGCTCCAGACCCCGGGCTCACAGCTGGTGAGCACAGCTGCGGTGGCACTACCGAGCAGCAGCAGTGACAGGCACAGTGGGGCTGGATTAAGTGGGAGCAGTGTGGCACCCAGCACGGACTCGGGCTCCTCCCTGGCCGCCTGCCGCTTCACGCACTACTATATCCCTCGGGGGATGTTGGGCTGCTGGTTCCAATCCCAAAACTGGCCATCCCACATCCCCCGAGGGGTCCCAGATTGCTAGAGGGTGCAGCCAGGCAGAGGGACCCCACGGGTGCATGAATCCGTGCCCCAGGCCTCTAGTATAGTATAAAGGTTTAGGTTACAAATGCAGCCAGAGCCCCCGAGGGGCCAGCTGCCTGAAGATGGCAGGAAGTGCCCCGAGAGGGGCAGGGAGTGAAGGGCGCAGCTGAAGGCTGGTTGTGTTTTAAGTGACTCCTGCATGCTGGGCAGAGGGTGGGCTGGAGGGCCAGTGGTCTGGGCCCACGGTGCACTCAGAGGGCAGGCTGTGGCTGTGAGCGCAGGGCTGGTAAACTCTGACCTCCCACGGCTACCGTCACACAGTGGCTCAGGACCACACAGCTGTGATGCACTGTCCTACAGTCCTGGAGGGCAGACACCCAGAATGGGACTTCCAGGGCGGAAGTCAGGGCGCATCTGTTTCCCCACCTTTTCCGGCACCTCCAGCTGGCGGTCTCCATCGCCAAAGCCGAAGGTCAAGTACCCTCGACCTTACCCCCTCTAAGGACCCCGTGACCACACCGGGCCTGGGTAACCTCCCTCTTCTGAGACCCCGAGTCACAGATGCGGGGTCCCCTCTGCCACGGAAAGGGGCACAATCACGGGTCCCAGGGAGCAGGGTGCAGGCATTTTGGGGGCCATTATTCTGCCTAGCACAGATGCTTCTTTCCTTCCTTTTTATCAGCACTTATTATCGTTACTTCTTAACGTTGTATAACTGAACAGTCCTTACTCCAATGAACCTTTGTGAATATTTTGGTTTGAAACACTTTAAAGTACAGCAAAATATTTCATTAGGTGCTGCTAATCTGTGCATTTTTTAAACTTTTTTTTTCCAATTATAGTTGACATACACTATTATATTAGTTCGAGATGTAAAACATAGTGATTAGACATGTGTATGCCTTATGAAGTGCTCACCCATAAGTCTACACCCACCTGACACCATACACAGTTATTACAATATTATCGACTACATTCCCCGTGCTGTGCTTAACATCCCTGTGACTGTTTTATTCCTGGCGATTCATACATCCTAACCCCTTCACCTTTTCTCCAAGTCTCCCAAGTCCCCGCCCCTCTGGCAACCATTACTTTGTTCTCTGTACCTATGAATCTGTTTGTTTTTATCTATTTACTAGAGGCCCAGTGCATAAATTCGTGCACAGGTAAGGTTCCTAGCAGCTGCCGGCCGGGGCCTCCCTCTGTTCCACGCCGCCCCATCGTGGTCAGTGTGCATCATAGTGAGCGATCCAACTCCCGATGGGTCGAACTCCCAAGGGTACACTTGCATGTTAGGCTTTTATATATATAGATTTTGTTTGTTTTATTAGTAGATTCCACATATAAATGAAATCATGTGGTATTTGTCTTTCTGTGTGTGACATATTTCACTCAGTACAAGAGTCATATTCTTTTTTATTTGTCTACTGATGGACACTCAGGTTATTTCTATAGCTTGGCTATTGCAAATAATGCTGCAATGAATATAGGGGTGAATATGTCTTTTCGATTTCTTCAGATAAATACCCAGAAGTGGGCTTGCTGGATCATGTAGAAGTGTTATTTTTAATTTTTTGAGGAACCTCCATACTATTTTCCTTGGTGGCTGCACCAGTCTGCATTCCCACCAGCAGTGCACAAGGGTTTTCTCTCCACCTCCTCACCAACACTGTCGTTTGTTGATTTATTGAAGGCAGCCATTCTGACAGGTGGGAGGTGATATGTGTGGTCTTAATTTGCATTTCCTGTCAGTGACATTGAACATCTTTTCATATGTCTATTGGCTGTCTGTGTGTCCTCTTTGGAGAAATGTCTATTCAGGTCTGCCCATTTCTAATCAGATTGTTTTTGGAGTTTAGTCATATGAGTTCCTTACTATAAGTATTTTGGGTATTAACTCCTTAATGGATGTATCATTGGCGAGTGCCTTCTCCCATTCAGTAGGTTGTCATTTTGTTGAGGTTTCCTTTGCTGCATAGACTGAGATTTGAATAGGAAGTGGTGAGATTACAGCTGGTAGAAAATATGAGAAATAAGGAAAAGACTTGTATAATACATACCTCACTGGACCAAAACACTTTAAAAAACAAACCTAACTAATGTGAGCTCCCTCTCCTGTCCCTGGGCTCCGTGCCAGGGCTCCCCACTGCGTCCTGAGCCACACTGGGCTTACAGGCAGAGAATCGCCTATGGACGGGCCCTGGGCTCGGGGGCCAGGCCTCCCGGGGAGTAGGTGGCAGATCCGGCTCATCCAAGCCCAGTCCAGCTGAGTGAGGGAATGAGACACACCCAAAAGGAAATGTGACCCCACAGGGTTCCTTCCCTGGTCTTAGGGGTGGTTCTGTTTAGGATGATCTGATTTTCACGCCTCTCCAGGGAAGCGACCACTGTGCTCAGTGAGACTCCCCTTGTGCTGAGTTGGGGACGGTAGCTCAGTATGACGACAGATGAAATCCCTCTGCTATTACCCGTTGGCCTGGGAGCCTGGGTGCTGGGGTCCAACCCCAGCAGGTCCAGGGGTCCCCAAATGTGTGGACGGAGTCGGCGAAGAAGGAATGACACGGAGACAGCGTTCAGTTGATCAGCAGCCTTGCCAGGATCTCTAGCCACAATCTCCAGCCAAGTACTGTGTCCATGTTCTCTTGCTAGGTTCTCCAGCCAGGTTCTCCAGGTTCTCCAGCCAGGTTCTGTAGCCATGCTCTCACACTAGGTTCTCCAGCCCGAAATCTCCATTCCAGGGAGTAAAGATTATGTACTTAAGCATGATTGTTCATAGTTAAAGTGATTAATTACCCACCTGGCAGTTAAGAGGTTTTATTCCCTCCCTAACTTCAGGGGAAAATCCCTACCTGGGGAAACGACCTTTCTCAGAGAGGTGACCTTGGTTAAAACACATAGTGCCAAGAAGGTGACCAAACATATTAAGAAGTATGCCATATATGCCAGGTCCCTTGAAACAGCAAGGATGGACCAGCTCCCGGCACCTGGGTGTGCTTTCCTTCTGAGTGCGGAAGGGAAGGAAACATCTGACCTTGACCAGGGTGGAGTCCCCCTCCCGAGAGCCATTTCTGTGGCCAGTCCAGCTGCTTGCCGCTCGGTCCCCCTTCAGAAGGGCATTTACCGAGGGCCCAGAGACAACATGGCCCTTTCTCCTTTCCGTGTTACCAACGCCTCTTCCTCCCCAAGTGTCCCAGAGGACGGGTGGAAGATGCTGGAAGGAATGTCCCCTGCGTAGGTGGGCTTACGTGTAAGTGTCTTTTAAACCACCCCCCTCACACGGGGCCCGACCCTAAGCCTTGGCCATCACTGGGCGTGACAGGCAGGCAGGATGAGCCCTGCTTGCTGTGAGCA